GTGGGGAAGCGCTTCCCCACAATCATCACAAAGCGATTTCCCCCCATTTAAAACCTTGCAATGTGATCGCTTTTCCCATCGCAAATACTTTATCGCTATGCGGCTTCATCATTAAACGGGGCGCTCGTTAAGCGAGGCACCACTGTATATGGGTACTGTTTATATTGTGGAAACTGGGGAGGTATTTCATATATAAATAATTTAACCCTCTATATAGCTGCAAGCTTGGCAGGAAGAGAAGACATCAATTAACTGTACCATAATACTAGCATTCAATGCTTACTAAATTTTTCCCAGCCACAGTTCAGGTTGCCCCCAGATACAGAATGGATTTATCTTTCATCTAAAGAAGTAGTCCTCCTTCCAAACTCAGAAGCTGTGGTGTAGTTTTTAGCTGAGAATCACACTATCCATTGATTTCAAAGAGGCAAACTGAAATCTACTGTGTGATCGTTAGAGGATTTTTCCTTGCAAATGGAAAGACATCCCCTGCAAATGTTTCTGAAATATATAGCATTCGTGTTGTATTCACTTTCAGTGAAATACAAGTGTTTCCCTGTTGGTTCTGCTGGACCTCTCAGCAGCTTTCAATACCATCAACCATGGGCTGTCTCTCTAGTATGGGACTTGGAGGCACTGTTTTATAGTGGCTCTGGTCCTTCCTGGAAGGGAGAACTCACAAGGGTGCTACTGGGGGACTCGTGTTTGACACCCCGGCTGACGGTCTGTGGTGTCCCTCAGAGTTCTGTTTTGACCCCTATGCTATTTAACATCTACATGAAACCACTGGGGAGAGGTTGTAGGCAGTTTGGGGGCTTGGTCTTTCCAGTATGCTGATGACACCCAATTCTATCTCTCCTTTCCATCTAAATCCAAGGAAGCCATCTCAGTTCTAAATCAGTGCCTGGTGTCAGTAACAGACTGGATAAGGGTGAATAAATTGAAATTTAATCCAGACAAGACGGAGGAACTCCTGGACAGTGAAAAACCAGATCAAGGGTTGCAGCCTGTGCTGGATAAGGTTACGCTCCCTGTGAAAACACAGGCATGCAGCTTGGGGGTGTGCCTGGGTTCATCTCTGAGCCTGGGTGCCCAAGTTTCATCAGTGGTCAGGAGTGCCTTTGCACAGTTAAAACTAGAATGCCAGCTGTGCCAGTTTCTTGAGAGGTCTGATCTGGCCATGGTGACACATGCCCTAGTTACATCTTAGTTGGATTACTGTAACATGCTCTATGTGGGGCTGCCTTTGGAAACTTCAAAGGATCCATAATCACAGCAGCCAGATTGTTAACTGGGGATGGTTACAGGGAATATGTAACTCCCCTATTACAGCAGCTCCACCACCTGCTGATCCGTTTCTGAGCACAATTCAAAGTGCTCGTTTTAACCTAAAAAGCCATAAATAGCTTAAGTCCAAACTACCTAAAAGACTGCATCTTCCTCCCAGACATTAAGTTTATCAGGAGAGGCCTTTCTCTTGGTCCCACCACCCTCATAGGTGTGCTTGGGAGGGGGGGAGAACATAAGAGAGTGCCTTCTCTGTTGCTGCTCCGAGACTCTGGAACTCCCTTTCACAGAAAGCTAGGCTGGTCCCATCTTTGCTGTCCTTCCACAGACAGGCAAAAACCTTTCTTTTCAGGAAGGATTTTCCTTAACGGTCTAAGTGGGGTTTAAAATTGATTGTTGTGCTCTGTTCTAAATGTGTTCTAATATTTATCTCAGTTACTATTTTAATATAATACTAGTTTAATTCTCTTTTAATATTTATATACTTACGGTTTTTAGGTTTTAAATACTGTTTTAATGATGTAAGCCACCTTGAGTCGTTTTGGGGAGAGGATGGATAGATGGATGGATCTTCTACTTGGGGCCCTCCTTCTGACAGGTTGGGAGACTGTCTCCCTATGTTGGACAGGGCAACCTTTCTACTTAGGGATCAAGTTGGGAATTTGGATATGTTTTTGGACCTGGCTCTCTCGTGGGATTCCCAGACTGCAGCCATGTCCAGGACAACATTCAACCAGCAGACGCTGATTGTTCAGCTCTGTCCTTTCCTGGATGAGGGAGCCCTAAGGGCAATGATGCATGTGCTGGTGATCTCCAAGATCACCTACTGTAACGCTCTCTACGAGGTGTTTCCCTTGAGACTGATATGGAACTTAGAGTAGGTGTAGAATGTGGTTTCCAGGTTGGTGTTGAGTGTGAGCAAATTTGATCACATATCCCCAGTCCTGGCTTGCCTGCACTGGCTGCCTGTGAGGTTCCGGGACAGGTTCAAGGTTTTGGTTCTTATCTACAAAGTCATTCACGATTTGGGCTCTCATTACTTCCTGGAGCACTTTCCCTAAGAACAGCCTGTGCCACCAGATCTTCACAGGCAATGTTTCTATGGGTTAGAATGCTGAGGGAGGACTGGAAGACTCCATCAGAAATTGTGCCTTCTTGGTGGTGGCACCAGCCCTTTGGAACAGGTCTGAGTGGAGCTGTAGCTGGCACTCAAGAGGCTACTTAAAACAGGGCTTTTAAAATAAGCTTTTAGTGGCATTGTTTAATGTATCTGCCAGAATTGTCCCTATTTGTAAAGTAGGAATGTCCTGCCTGTCTGTTCTTGGTATGTTGTTTTCATGTTATTACTGACTTGTTTGCTCTTATCTTTTTTTTAATTGACTTTTGTTGTTGTAGAATTTGTATTTACTTCATTTGTTTGTTAACCATACAGAGTAGTGTTTTACATTAATTGGGAGTATAAGAATGGAAGAAATAAATGAATAACTACTACAGTGGTACCTCGCTTAACGGGCATTCTGTTTAGCGATGAAACCGCATAGCAACGAACTTTTTGCAATCGCAAAAGCGATCACATTGCGATGTTTCCTATGTGTTTTATCGCTTTGCGATGATCGGTTCCCTGTTTCGCTTACCAATCATCGCAAAGTGATGATTTATAAACAGTTGATCGGCAGTTCCAAAATGGCCGCCGGGTAAAAAAAATGGCTGCCCGCTGTGTTTTCGTGCCAATTCCTCGCATAAGAGGCAGCGAAAATGGCCGCCGTATGGAGGATCTTCACTTTAAGGTGAGTTTTAAGCCCATAGGAACACATTAAATGGGTTTTAATGAGTTTCTATTGGCTTTTAAAAATCGCATAGCGACGAAATCGCTTAGCAGTGATTTTTGCTGCACGGATTAACGTCGCTATGCGAGGCACCACTATATTTCTACTTTACAAATACAGAACACGAGCCAAATATAGTGACTTGTAGAAGAATGTACTTAACCACTGTCTCTATCATGGCCTGTAAGTTCTATGCACATACTCACAATAGCTCCCATCTCAGTCTGTTATTTTAGTAGGTTTCTTTCACACAGACAGACAATCATTTCATTAAATCAATAGTAAATAATGAAGAATACGATGCATCTTGCAGAATGGATGCATCTGTATGTCACAGTAAAGTTAGGGCTCCATGGAGTTCATTGCTAACCTTGGTCGAGCCAACCTGCTGGCTACCATGTCCTGACTGCTCCAACTTTTTGAAGCAAAAGCTACTAAAGAAACCACAGACCTTTGATCTGTGGTATGTTTCTTCCAATGTCTGTGCAGCAATGAAGTCAGCTCTCTCCCAGCAAACCAGAGAAATGAATTGCACAACAAATCCTGGATTTCTCCTTTGGCTTACTGGCTGAGAAATGAGCAGAGCCAAATGAACCCAATTTCAGACCTCACAAGAAGCAAATGGAAACAAGAGTGCAGGAGCCAGTGAGCTAATTCTACTGTATATCTGCTGAATTTTGCTTTATATTAATGGGTGAACATAGTCAATATACCCCAAAAATAACTATATATAAGGAGCAGGGACAAATCCTAATATTAAAATCAGAGACAAATATCACCATGTAAGAGAGAATTTATATCTTTTGGGGAATGTCAGATCTCTTTTCCTTAGGATGTTATGTCAGAGTACCATAATAAATATACCAACACATATACTTTCATAATATACGACATAAATATTTTGCAGAATCATACCTTGCAGTTGATCATTTCTTCCACACGTTCTTGAGGTGCTTTCCCTGCTTTGTGTCTCACCAACACATAAACTGCTTTCACCTTTGGACAAGACCTTAACAGCTTTTCCAGCAGAACTTTCCCCATGAATCCAGTAGCTCCAGTGAGGAGAACGCTCTTGCCTTCGTAGTACTCTGGGATTGATACCATTATGCTCTTAAGAGAATTTAAGAGTATGTTAGAGCTTGTATTCATACTATCACTTAGACATGATACACTATTTGCTCAATTTGCATATGACCACATGCTGAATTCCATTTTTATAGAAAAGTAATACCATATATTTTTGCTCCATAAGGCGCACCTGACCATAAGACGCACCCAATTTTAGAGGGAGGAAAACAGGAAAAAAAATACTTCTGTCATGCCTGGCTGTCTGGGCGGCGCTGCAGCATCTCCTCCGTGGCCTGGGTGGTGGCGGGAACCATAGCTCAAGTAGTAATCGTGGACTCCCCGCTCTCATTTATCATTACCTGGTTCCCAACACACACCCTTATTTTTGGGGGAGTGCAGAAGAGACACCTCAGCCAGTCCCTGATGGGCATCCTGAGAGACAGAAGAGAGAAAGAGAGAGAGAGGAAGAGAGAGAGTGGAAGGAGGCGGGAAGGGGAGAGGAAGGAAGGGGGAAGGGGAAAGTGTGAAGAGGAGGAAGGGCTGGCAGAGTGAAAAGCAAGGCAAGGGCAAGAAGAAAGCTGAGATGAATGAGCAGAAGAGAGGAAAGCTACGGAGGGGAGGAGGAGGAGCTTGTTGCACTCCCCCATTTCGAGTCTCCCCTCACATCGCATTCCGCTGGTGGTGGCGGTGGCATGGGGCTGCAGCAGGCGCCCCTCTGATGTTGAGGTCCCGGCCTAGTGAGGGACAGCATGGGCTCTGGGGGATCTGTACCATTTTTTACAGTATTCGCTCTGTAAGATGCACACCCTTCCCCCCATACACTTTTTTTTAGGAGGAAGTGCGTCTCATGGAGTGAAAAAAATACAGTATTTGTGATAAAGAAAAAACAGGACATTGCTTTGTTATTCTTCACTATTCAAAAGAGCACAAAAATATAAAATTGTTCATGTATAAACTATTACGATCCTAAATGCATGCCCACACACAAAAGAACTACGCTGAGAATTTGGACATGTACATGAACACTCCAAATAGCTAAAAACTCTCAGCACATCTAATTCTGGGGAAGAAACTATATAATGACATTACAAAACTTGACAATATGGCACACAACCCCCAAGCAATCAGAGAGGTTGCTCTGTGAGTCTGGTATGATAAACTGGTAGTTTGTCACAAAATGAAGCAAAAAAAATGACAGTTTGATTCACAATTAGAAGATGTATCAATCTATTATTTGCAGACTGCAGCACATTTTCTTGGCTACAAGACAGTCAAAGACATAAAATGACCAGAATAATAATGTCAGTCTAAATCACAGCAATGAATTATCACTATGTCATTAGTTAATGAGTAGCCATTTGTATCCCACACTGTGCACTAATTCATATGACTGGCATGTAGTAAAGGACAAAAGCAGCATCCTGTTAACTAGGAGCGATTTACCCATGGCATAACTAACCAACAGGATTCTAGCCAATGTGTCTCATATACTGGGGAATGTACATGTTAAGTAGGAAGCAAAGCTGATTTCAAAATAAAAAGAATGCATTTTTTGAAAAAAAAAACTGTTACATCTTTATAAACTGTTACATCTTTAATAAACTTATATACTTTATTATAAGTAGGAAATAATGCAGGGAGTGCTTTTCTGCCTTGCCAATTTCAGTTCTCAAACAGGCTAAAAGCTGAAAGGGGGGGGCAGAAGAAAACCAAATGCACATTTACTACAGATGTTTTACACTTGCAGAACATTTCTGGTTGAATAAAAGGCTGATTCTGGAGAATTTTTTCTTCTTCCACAGATCCTGGTTCCATACAACAAAAGCTACATGGATGGCACATGGCTATACCGTGCAGTAAATAACTTTTAAAATAATGAATATGCTTCTCTGTTTAACATTAACCTTCATATTTGCTGGGGCTTCTGGATACTGTTGACTTACATTACAATTGCACCTACAGCTTTATCAGTGTAAACTAAATTTCAGCCTGCACTTCTATTAAGATCTATGTTAACAAAACAGCAACAACCAGAAAAGCAGCATAAGCATTAAGATTTTCCTTTTTGCACAAAAAGAAAAATCCCCCACCAACTTCCTTAACTCAATGTATTGCTTCAAAGCCTACATCCTTGGAAAAGATACTGTAAAATGGAAGTGTATTTTAAAAGCCCAAATACAATTTTTGATAGAAATGTACAGTGAATTCCCTATGTATTAATTCCTAGTGAGGGAAATTACAATATGCTCAGCAGATGAGAAGAATAAAAGGAAACAGAAAAAAGGTGGCAGATTTAAAAATAATTAATACCAAAAAAACACCCTAATATCTAAGGTAAGAAATATTTAACAGTCCAACTTCCTATTTCAGGGTCTGCTTACCTTTCAAATAATCAATCCAATCAATCTAGGCAAAACATCATGCCTTAAAAAATTTTTGCACGTGTTCTATTTAATTATTTAAATAACAGATGGAGCTATTGATCCAAATCAGGGTCACAGTGCAGCGGCAAAAGGCTTAATGTTCCCCTTCTATGCCAATGTCTTAACAAGATTTTTACTCACTACCGGACTTCTATTTATTCCAGGAAGAAAGCTACTCCTGAGACCAACAGCAGCTTTATTAGATCAAAGAGCAGCATGAGTGTGGAGGACTTTTCAGCTGGGAGTGCTGCACAGAAAGACTTGAACTCTCCATCGAGTCCACTGCCCAAATCTGGATTAGGCCCTCACAACTACCATATATACATACATAAATGCACCCAGGTGAAAAAAAATTAATTCAAAAAAAGATGCAGTTTGTTTTGGCTCTACCATATTGCTTCCCAGTACACAAGAGCAGTACTATTCTACTGCCGTTGATCGCAATGTCTCTAAAGCTGATGTTATGAGTAGTCCACTAATCAAGTTATAGACAACACTCTCCCCCATGTTACATTCACAGACGACCGCCAGGGTTTTAAAGAAAACCATAAGTTACTTCTTCTAATCATACATCAGCTAAAGATGATAAAAATTATGAAACTAAAAATCTAATTTTCTCTGTCTCTTTTGACATAGTCCAGCAACCTACTATTCCTCCACAAATACCCCAAAGAGTTGTCAGATCTCATGCACTCTGTTTCAGTCATATTGTTCAAACTGGACTAATGTTCTCCCAAATTTCGAAAGTGCTGCCACTGCAACATTAACCCTACAGAAAATCCACCTGCAACTCTTGAATGACAAATGGGAGTTCAATCCAACCTCTAAGGCTCTGAATTTGAAGTTTAAGCAAATATACATCTGCTGTCACAAAAGTTCTGTGGATAAGGAAAAGTGAAAGCAAATTCACGCTGAATTACGAGTCTAGCAGTAAGGGAGCTGTTATCCATGGATACACTCACAGGCAGGAATAAAAGATTTGTGTGAAGTATTTAAGTAAAATCAGATCCCAGCCTTAGGAGGAGTGGTCAGCATCACTGATCCACAATTAAAGAGAACCAGTTCCAAAAACGAATAATTAGCCAAGAATGAAGATAATACTTACACCTGCTTTGTCTTCAAACCATTAGGATAACTTATATTTTAAAAATATAAGACAAACCTTAGTTCAAGAATTGGCACAATGTTTTTACCCTTAATCCTTCATCCACGAAATCCAATATCCCAAAATATGTTTTTCTACTTGCTATTCATGCAGGCTATTGTGGCAAAACAAAGCAAGCCAAATATTAGATAAAGTCTACATTTACAAATCCAGCATTCAAAATCAGTGCCCTTAATTCACATAATGATGCATTCCGAGGTATCATGTTTCTCACAGAATGTGATCAAAAATCTGGCAGAAGGCAATTTTTAAAACAACAGAATCAAACAGGGACTAACAGTTCCAGCATTTTAGCCAATATTTTATCTCAATAAAAGATTCTAGTGTCCAAAGGTATGTAAGCACTATTGTGGAGCATACAATAGATGCTCTGTTATCCTCCAAAGACCACAACATTGCTGTTTTGTTGAAATGTAAGCTTTATGAATTCACTGTTTTTCAAAACTTGAGTTTTACAAATAACAGGAGATGCAGCAAACACACAGAAAAGAGAAATACTAAAGATAAAATGTGGACTTCTACCTAAACTAAGCTTTTATGGTTAAATAATGTCAAAGGAGTTGGAACTTTGAGCTCTATAGAACTATAACATACTGAAAAAGAAAAAAGCACACTAAGCATGCAGAGCAAATTTTTAATTTTGATTTATACGATTTATAGCACCCATTATTTAGCAGAGATATGAATACTATATAGGGGAAGAAAGTATCCAGGTGATCAATTTAAATCAATTAACTAGAATTTTACTTAAGTGCAGCAATTATGCTTAGCAACAACTACTCCTAAGTAGCTAGAATGATGCTCCATATTCTTCTACTCTCTCAAATTCAAGAAATATTGTGTTACTATGTAATTCAAGTATTTAAATTTGAAAGGAAGGAAATGATACAGTATTTGATGAAGCCACCCTTTTTCCCCGCCTTAATTCAAGCCTTGCCTGTTCCTTTTTTCATAGTTTTGAGTCAGTGGGTCTCTCTCGCTCACACACACACAAACACACATCCACCCTCCCTCGACCCTTTTTTCCTGCCTTAATTCAAGCCTTGCCTGTTCCTTTTTTCATAGTTTTGAGTCAGTCTCTCTCTCACACACACAGACACACACACATCCACCCACCCACCCTCCATCCATCCATCCATTTTCTCCATCATTTTCTCCATACATTTAAATAAGCTTGATGAAGCCCTTGGTCTCTCGCACCTTCCTTCCCCTCATTAACTCGATCCTTTCCCGCCTCCTGCTTGCTTGCATTCATTTCTGGAGGAAGCAGTCATTCAAAGCCCCGGATTGATTGATTGCTCGGGGCTATTCCACAGCTGTAGCCAATTAAGCAGGCTTATCTCCGATCTCTGAACAGAGGATTTACAAGTGCCTGCTGCAACCAGGAAGTAACAGGGAGAGGTGGCTTACAATTTGAGGTTTGGCTGCAGGGGTAGGAGTGGGGGTGGGAGGGA